TTCCTGGCCGCCGCCCGCCGCCCGCCCGCCCAAGGTCTTGGGCCGCTGCAGGTGGCGTGCTCGTCGGGGCCGCAGCTCGATGCCGAGGGCAGCGCCACCTTCCAAGCAGTCAGCGGAACTCGGCGCAGGCGTTGTCGCCGCCGTCACCGCCGTCAACGTCGTTGCCGCCGTCGGGCGTCGGCCTCCTTATGTCCTTCTGTTTTCTATCTACTCTTCCATTTCGTCTTTCTACTTCCTACTCCTATGTCATCACCCTTCCCATCCTCCTCCTCCTTCTCTTCCTCCTCCTTCCCCTCTCATCGCCTCCTACCGCCACTTTCCTCTTGTCTCACTACCACCTCCACGTGCGCTTACCTGTGCCCTTGACTACGCTGTCACGTTCGTTTCCAATGCCAAATGCTGGGAAGGCGGTGTGGGGGGGGGCGTGGGATGGGGCCGGGGCTTGCATTTCAGATTCCAGGCGGTTCATGCGCATGTTGGAATCTGACGCCCACGCGTTCGGCATCGCGGCGTACATGGTCATTGGTGAGCCTGGCCGAGTGCTCAACCATTTCTTCATGCAGGCAGCGGCGCCTGCTCACCCCCCGCCCTCCTCCTCCGAGGAGGAGGGGGAGAGGCGGAACAGGGCGAGGAGGATGGGGGTGGTGAGGAGGGCGAGGGGGAGAAGGATGAGGCGCGGATGATGGGGAGGCCGATGTCGATGAGCGAGGAGGACGGAGGAGGGGATGAGCGTGGGGCGAGGGGGATGGAGGAGGCGGGGGGGTTGCCAGGGGGGTAAGAGGCGAAAGGCGGGGGGGGGGGGGGGGGGGGGCTCGCAGGCAGACGCGCGCCGCATGTTCAGAGACTCAGAGCTCAGAAGGTAGAGGGGGGGGGGGGTGAGGAGGTAGGAGGTAGTCATCGGTGGCTGGAGTGGAGGTGATGCGCTAGGGTGAGGGGTGAGGGGTGAGGGGCGGGGGGTGAGGGTGAGGGGGGCGCTGCCGCGTCGCGTCAGGCATCCGAGGGCGAGCTGCGGAAGAACCCGCCTCTCCTGACCGAGATTGCCAACCCCGGCACGTCGGGAGTTGTGCTCTCGCTGCAATACTTGAGCACGCTGCTTCGGGACAACCCGATGTCGCGCCTGGTGTGGGAGCAGGCGGGCGACGCCACCATGGGCCACTGGGCGGCCAGGCATGCTTGGAGGACACAGGATGTGACCGCAGAGGGTTGGGCGGGGTTGTGGGGTCAGTGTACCCATCGGTCGTTGAAAGTAGGTATTTTTGGATTCCCAGATTCTAATCTACTTTCAGCGCCTTCCTACTTCAAGAGTCGAGTGGTTGTCCCTCTTCCCTCGTCTTCAGGAGGCGGGCGGAAACTCAATCTACTTTCAACGCCTTCCTACTTCATGTTTCTACCTACTTCTTCCGACCGATGGGTAGTGGGCGTAGCGTACGTAGGGCCTAGGGCCTAGGGGTGCAGGGCGCCGGGCCTAGGGGCCTAGGGCCTAGGGCTGGGCCCCGGGCGTGGCGGGGTTTGGTAAGGGCGTTAGGCGTTAGGCGTTAGGGGGCAATGGTCTGGGTGTGGGGGGAGGGGGGGGGGGGCATGAGAGATGAATGACCATGGGTCCGAACCAGAGGGTGGGCGTCTTCTTGGTGCGTATCGTGCATGGTGTTCGGTGTTTGTAGGTCCTGTAGGTTGTAGATTCTAGGTCCTAGGTCCAGGTTGAGTCGTGGATGCCCACCGCCACCGCCCACCACCCGCCACCGCCGCCCCTGCACCACCTCCGCCCCCCATTTCAATTCCGCCGCCCTGCCCCATCTGGCCCAACTTGGGCCTTCCAAGCGCGGTCGGTCAGTGTGCTCCCTGGGGCCCCGGGCCAGGTCCCTGGGCACTGCGGCTTGTGGGCCATGAATTCGCGGCAACCAATCAACCAACCCGCCCGCAGGCATCCCGACCGCGCGGCGCGCTTCCGACGCGCGGTGCTGACGTACGCAGCAGCCATTGAGCACAGGCCGCTTACCTCTTACTCTTACCTCTTACCTCTTCTCTCTTCTCTCCTCTTTCTTCTCTCTTCTCGTACCTCTTCTCTTCTCACAGCCCTACCCCCTCCTACCCTACCCCCTGCCCCCCTGTCACCTCATCGGTCTCAACTGTGCATCCCCCTCGTCTCCCTTCCCTTCCCTGGACCCCCCCCCGTCCTCCAGTCCTCCTTCCGGTCCTTCCCCCACCTCCCTCCTCCACCCCTCCACCCGACTCCTCCCCTCCCTCCTCCGCCCCCTCCTCTCCTCCCCATCCCCATCCTCCATCCTCCCATCTCATCTTCTTCTCGCCTCGCCTCAGCCAGGCACGGCCATCTCTTGAAGCCGCCGTTCAGCTTGGCGGTGCTGGTCGACGCTCGCGCCAACTTTGACCAGCGCGCGCAGGTTCTCGACGCCTTCGACAGGACCCCGGCGTGCTGCATGAGACCAGGGCTGGCGCAGTCGCTGAAGGCGCGCGGCATCAACATGAGGCTCGCGACCAACCGCGGCTGGATTCATCCCTGGGCGACGTCGGTGATGCTGTCTATCTCAGCAGAGGAGCGTATGCACGCCACCAACAGGAGGTGCAGCAGGCCCGCCCCTGGTTCAGTCGTCCGCTTCGACGGCATTGCGGCCAACGGCGTGCTCCACCATGCGAAGTGCTCCCTGGCTGCAGCCAAACGCAGGCAGGAGAGTGCCCTCCAGGACGCTGAGGACGCAGCGTTGGCCCCGCCGCCCTTGGCCCTGCCAGCGCCTGCGCCAGCGCTTCCAGCCCCATTGGCAGATCAGGCAGCTGCAGGTGGCCCAGGCGGTCGCAGGCGGCCGCTCGACGGCGACCACGCCATTGCCGCGCGCCAGAACAAGTACGCGAGGATGTTAGGCGATCACGCGGCGGTCGGTGCCAGCACCGCGGCGCGACGGGACCAATCTCCACGATCGACGTCCTCCCCCCCCCTCCCCCCCCTCCCCAGCCTATTGTTCTGCGAGGTGGGCTGGCGGGCGGGTGGGCATTGCTGGGATGATACCATTGGGCATTGGGAGTTAGGTGCCTAGGACAGGGGGCGTAGGGCAGGGGGTATGGGGTAGGGGGTAGGGTAGGACAGGGGACAGGGGGTAGGACTGGGTCGTGGGTAGCCACCCGAATCCAGTCCAGCTTTCCCGCCCCCAGCCTTCTCCTGCACCCTTCACTCTCAATCGCCATCCTCTCGGAATTCTCTTTCTGCTGGACTCCTGGACCGTTCCCGTTCCCCTCATGTCTCCTGACATGCCCGTCCGCCTCGTTTCCTAGCCGCTCCCTTTCGCTGCCCTGCCCAGGCTGAAACTGGCTGCCCGACCGAGCGGTACACGGCGGCCCTCCCGAACGGCAAGGTTGCGAAGGCCAAGTCCGCCAAGGACACTTGCGGGCGGCGGGCGCGTGGGGGGGGGGGGGAGTGAGGGCGGCGACGATCTCCTCCTCATCCTCTCATCCTCCCAATCTCCCAACTCGCGCCCCCCTCTTCTTCGACCTGAGCTCTTCTGTCCTCCTCCGGCCCCTCCCCGCCCGCGCTCGATCGCACCCCCTCGGACCAAGATGGATGATTGAGGATGGAGGAGGGGGGCGGAGGGTGAGGAGAGGAGGAGGGAGATGGGAGGAGGGGGGGAGGGGGGGAGGAGGAGGAGGAGGCAGGAGGAAGATGAGGACGAAGGATGAGGAGGTGGAGGATCGCGCCGCAGGAGTTCTTCCGCGACATTGAGCTGCTTCCAGAGCGTGCGCGTCGCGGCGCTGCGAACTACCCCAAGATCGGGACAGGCGAGTGGTTGCGGTTCATCGACGCGCGCTGGAACGAGTTGGCTCCAGAGCGCCAGGACGTCTTCACCCAGCTCGCCGCGTCCGACAAGAAGGCGTTGGATTCGCTTCGACGGGTTCTGAAGGTCTCGGGCGCACAAGCTCAGATGGGCGCGCCGCATGTGCCGCTGGTTGCGGAGCAGAATCCAGTTGCCGCGGCTCGCCCGGTCGACGACGCCTTGGTCGGCATGTTCCCCCCGAGTGAAGATTGCATGGTCGAGCGTGCAGCTCGAGGCGATCGCCCAGTGCTGCCCGCGAAGAAGGACCTCCCAGCCTACCAGGAATTCGAGTTGTCACCGAACTCGCCGCTGCTGCCATCAACTCTTGATGCAGCCTTGAAGGTCAGAGGGTGCGGCGTCGACCATCAGGCCCATGAGATGACCGCTCGCAGCTCAGTCGTGCAGGTGGAGGGTCCTGCTGGCGTGGAGGTCATACCTGCAGCCGTCGACTACGGGTCGCAGTGCCGCGGCGTGTGCAGGACGAGGACCTCGGCCGACGTCAAGCAGGTCTGCCTCCATCTCATTCACGTGCTCGGCCAGTTTAAACCAGCCCACGTTACAGAAGACATCCTGGTACGCGCTTCCATCTTCATCAAGGGCGACGCGACCCCTACCAACATGTACTTCTACTTGTGCTTCGCGATGTGCCAATACAGTCGGCACCCGTCGTACCAGGCCTTCGCGTTGTTGGATTCGTGCGCCAGCCCTGATGAGATACCGTTCTCGCTCATGATGGCGCGGAAGCCGTTCATCGAGCCGCACGCGAGCGCCCGCGACTACATGTTTAGCAGGTTCGTGGTCTCTGGGCCCGGCATGTACGACATCAGGAGCGGGGCCGACCTTGCCGCGCACATTATTCGCGAGTCTGGCGACAACCTCGACTACATCCGCTTGCACGTGATGACGCACGCCTTCCCCGAGATGCCTCCAGACATCGACGGACCCGCGTGTCGTATCTTCCTCCGTCTTTCTCCTTTCCTCCTCCCCCCCCCCTCGCTCCCATCATGGGGTTGCGAGGGGAAGTCGAGGGGCGAGAGATGTGGGTGATGCTAGTTGCTAGTTAGTAGTTGGTAGGTGGTAGGTAGGAGTGAGTTAGGAGGTAGGAGGACCAAGGAGGAAGACACCCGATGGTGCGATGTTGCCGCGCCTCCACAAGGACGTCGCGGCTTCGACATCGGCAAGTTCCTCGTCACGGGGGTTCGCTCGTGGTTGGGCACCGTGAAGCTCGGATCACCGCTCCGCCTGCCCGTTGGCGCACCCGCCGCCCCGCCTGCGCAGATTCCAGCACCTGGTGGGGCCATGGACCCCGCCATGGACTACGTCTCCGACTTGCTGGCCCCGTCCAGCGGCCTCGACTTGGCCAACTTGGCGGTGACGAGATCTCCGATCGCCCATGGCCCATTGCCCCCGCATGCATGCTACAGGGGGGGGGGGGAGGATGATGAGGGATGGCGGATGGCTCGATGACGGAAGGGGGGGGGGATCGAGGGGGGGGGAGGTGAGGGACGGCGGATGGAGGATGGCGGATGGAGGGCCAGGGATGGGAGCGCGGGGGGGGGAGATGATGGGGATGGAGGATGGAGGTGGCAAGCCCTGCTCTATTATTGTTAGCGGCTTGTTAGCGCTTTGTCAATCGCCAGCTGCCGACGTCCACGTCGACGTTGACGACGACGCCGATGGCCCCTTCCCGCGGCCCAGGTGATAGCTGGACTTCTCCCGCGAGACACAGCCGCAGACCTGCTTCGCGCCATGGATGCGGGCGGCGACGAGTTCGAGAGTGCGGAGGCGGCCGAGCACGCGCCCGCCGATCCAGATGAAGGCGCTGATCCCGAGGTGCTCGCGGGGCTCGTCGACGACGACTTGGGCCCCTTGCGCCCAGATGACGCGGTTGAGCTCGTCGTCGAGCCGGGGGCGGCGGCGCATGACGGCCTTGCGCAGCCTGAGCCCGATGTCGACATCCTCGTCGAGTACATCGACGAAGTCGCGGCCATGCTTGCTCACGAGCCTCCGCCACCGCCCCCGGCGCCATCAGCCCGAGTGGCCCATCCCGTCGCCGCCGTCGCGCCAGCAGCCCCAGCAGCCCCGCCAGCGGCGCCGGCCGCCCCAACCCTGCCGCAGCTCCTGGCGCACCTGCAGCTGGACATGCCGGGCGTCCGCTTCCCTCGCACAGTGTTTGATTTGAGGTCCCACCCTCTTCTCATCGCTTCTCTCTATGCAGTTACTCAGTTACAAACTACTCTCTACTCCTTACCTCCTTACCTCACCCGCCTTGCCTTACCCCTTACCCCTTACCCCTTACCCTGCCCTACCCTACTACTCTCCTGCTTGGTCCTGGGTCCTGGTCCTATGTCCTAGGTCCTCGGCCCAGGTCCTACGCGCCCTACCACTCCTGACTCCTTAATCCTTAACCTACCTACTGCCTTCATCCCTTCCCATCTTCTGCTCCCATCCTGCGGGCCGTTTCTCCAATGCTTCTCATCTCTCATCTTCTCATATTCTCGCGTATCCTGTGTCCTGTGTATCGTGTATTACTGTATACTGCATCGTGTATCCTATCATTATCATGTCTGCTGTCTGCCCCAGGTCTCCGCTCCCTGGCGGCTCAGCCGATGACATCGTTCGCTACCAGAGCATCGGGAAGCTATACAAGGTGTGGGACCGCACCTTCAAGATGGAGTGCTTGAACCCCGCGCACACGAAGTGCTCCTGCATGGTGAACTTCAGCTGGCACCCTGCGGTGGCGGTGGCGGGCGGAGGCGGCGCCGACATGCGACGTGCGAAGGCGGTCGGCGGTGGCTCAAAGCGACGACGGTCGATGGCGATCGCGACGGCGTCGTCAGCGACGAAAGCGACGTCGGCGTTGGACGAACAGCGCTAGGTCATCCCACCCCCTGGACCACCCTAATCATCCCCCTCCCACTCCCGATGTACAACTGGGACGAGGATCAGGCCATGTCCGACCTCATCAATTGGTTGGCGGATGGCCGCGCCAGCTTGTCGCTGGAGCACAAGCGCGAGTCGGGCGCGCTAGTGGAGTCTCGGCGCTTGGCTCAACTCAGCTCACTCTGAACCGAACCTACTCCCTTCAGCCCCCCCCCTCCTCCTCCTCCCCAGTCCTCAGTCCTCAGTCATTCGTCCTCGTCCCTCCTCATCGTCCCACCTCATCCTCCCTCTTCATCCTCCCTCCTCATCTTACCTACCTCCTACCTCCTACCTCCCTCCCTCCCCCTCCTCCTCGCCTGTCTCCTCCTTCTCCTCATATTCCCTCCGAATCCCGAATGTCCCGAATCCCCGCTCCCTTCTGAGGACCTCCTCCTCCTCCTCCTCCTACCGCGCCCTGCACCACCTTCGCATTGCACAGCCTTACGCTGCGCCACTACACCCCGCCCGCACCCCTACCTTATGCCCTATGCCGTATCTCCCACGTCCTACGTCCTACACCCTGCGCTGCACCCTACACACCCTTCTCCCGCACGCCACGCCCTGCACCCGGCCTCTGGGACGGGCGAGTCGCCCGTTCGTCGTCGACGTCGCCCATCGCCGCCGTTGTCGTCACGTCGGTCGTTGGGCTAGTCTTGGTTAGTCAGTCGTCAGTCGTCGTCCGTCGTTGGATCCGCCGCTGTCGCCCTTGTCCGTCCGCCGAGGCGCCCCCCGGCACGTGCCCGCGCGCGAGCCTCTCGCTGAGCAGCTGCGACATCTCCATGGTGCCGATCGACGCCGCCACGCGTCGTCGGCATTTGCGGGCACCGGCCCGCCTTCTGCCCCTCTCCCCTCCATCGTCGTCGACCGAGTAGTCGTCGTGAAGTCGACTGAGTTTCGACAGTTAGTTGCACCCCCCTCCTCCTTCGACTTGGAATGCGCAAATTGAATCAACGGAATGCCGAGCCAGCCGTAATTATTTGGCTGCCTTCGGGGGATATAGGATAGAGGAACAGGGCATGGAAATAGTAATTCGGTAATTCAGACCTCAGCCCAGCCTCGTGACCTCGTGCACCGCTGCGCTCCATCGCCCCGCCACGGCCCTTCTTGTCGCGCTGAGACGCGGCTGCATCAGCGCGCACATCGAGTGCTGCTGCGATGCTAGTGGCCAGCCGCTGGGGCGACTCGAGCGCAGACGTGCGTAGGCGCAGCGCTGGCGCAGCGGCGCCGCGCTGCTCGTGCACAGGCCGCGGGCTGAGGTTGAGGGCAGAGGAGGCGGTCGAAGGCGACGAACGACGAACGACGACATCGACGATTGCTGATGCGACGCTGACTGACTGAGAGCGGCGACGACGCCGAGCCGACCAGGGCCAAACGCCAAACATTGATGACGACGACGGCGTCGCCTTCGACCCCCCGGGGCCCGCCAGCCGCGCCGCTCCCAGCAGCCGCCAGCCAGCCAGGCGCTCAGAGTTGGGGCGCGACAGCAGTCACCTCCGCAGCGTCGGAGGGCGTAGGGCGTAGGGCCATCGCGCCAACAACGCGCGGTGTCGTCAACGCCTCGAGGAGGAGGACGAGGTGGAGGCGAGAGGTGATGAGGCGGCGGTGAAGGAGGAGGAACGGATGAGGAAAGGAGGCGGCGGGCGGAGGAGGGGGATGAGGAGCAGCCAACCGAACCGCCAACCCTTCAGCCCTCAGAGCCCCCCCCTCCACCCCTCCTCCACGCTCGAACCCTCCCCCCTCTCATCGCGCCCCCCACCCCCCAAAACCCGAAGGGAGGCGCCTCGTCTCGTGCATCGCGTCGGTGATCGAGCGGGCGTCTGGCCTCGGCAGTGTCTCGTGTCTCATGCTCCTTCCTCGCTACTCGCTACCGGTCTCTCTCTCTCTCTCTCTCTCTCTCTCTCTCTCTCTCTCTCTCTCTCTCTCTCTCTCTCTCTCTCTCTCTCTCTCTCTCTCTCCTCTCTCTCTCTCTCTCTCTCTCTCTCTCACTCTCTCTCTCTCTCTCTCTCTCTCTCTCTCTCTCTCTCTCTCTCTCTCTCTCTCTCTCTCTCTCTCTCTCTCTCTCCTCTCTCTCTCTCTCTCTCTCTCTCTCCCTCTCTCTCTTCTCTCTCTCTCTCTCTCTCTCTCTCTCTCTCTCTCTCTCTCTCTCTCTCTCTCTCTCTCTCTCTCTCTCTCTCTCTCTCTCTCTCTCTCTCTCTCTCTCTCTCTCTCTCTCTCTCTCTCTCCCCTCCTCCCTCCTCCGTCCTCCCTCCTCCCTCCTCCCACCCCCCGCCTCGCTCCTCCCGCCTCCCGCGTCTTCCTCTCCCTCCTCCTCGCCCCCCCAGCTTCCCCTCCGCACATGCGCCGATGTGCGATGTGCCAACTCCGTTTACGTTCATGCCTGGCACGCATCCGCCGTTGGCCGTTGGCCCGTTGGCCCAAGCCCCACTGTTGGCATCTAGCTAGCTGCTAGCTACCACGCGGCACCGACGCCCCTTTCCCCTCTCCGACTGAACTCCTGCTGCCGAGGGGCCAGCAAGCCCACGTCCCACAGCAATGGGCAGGCGTGGGAAGGCGAAGCCGAGCCCCGGACAGTCGTCAGCCACAGCCAGGATCGATGACGCATTCGCGTCGCAGTCTCAGCGCCGCAAGCACGCAGCCACAGCAGAAGCAGAGGCGACTCCCATGGCCGCCAAGCGACGCGCTGCTGCTGCTGTTGAGGCGGCCACGGCAGCGGCCGCAGCGGAGTCGCCCGCGCCCGCGACGCCCCAGCCGCCGAGCCTTGCGGCAGTTCTGAGGCGCCCCGCAGCCGCTGCGGCGCCACCAGAACCCTCCAACGCCAACGCCGAAGACTCCGACTACTCGTTTGGAGTGGCAGATGCATCGGCGCGACCGTCGTCGGCCGCGCCGCAGCCGCCTGCTCCGTCGCCGCTGGCCTCGCAGCCGGGGGCGCCAGCGCCGCGCGCGCAGATGGGCCGGCGCGTGACCCAGAAGGCCGCCCTGCATGCGCCTGAGCCCGCCGCGTCGCCTGCAGAAGACGCAGCTGGCCCAGCCGCTGGCGCAGGGGCAGGGCTCAGCCTCGGCGGTGCCGGCAGCGAGGGCAACGATGCGGGCTCGGGCTCGGGCAAGGGCAAGGGCAGAGGCGGTCGTTGTCGCGCGGGCGGAGCACGGGCCGGCCGCGGTCGCGGGGGGCGCGGCGGCGGCGGGCGCGGCGCGACGTCCGCGCGCGGCCCCGAGGAGGATGCGGGTGAGGATGAGGCTGCCGCGGAGGAGGGGCCCGCCGCCGCGCAGCCATCGCAGCCGCAGCCGAAGCGCGGCCCTCCTACAGAGACAATTCCAGCTCCAGAGGATGAGGATGCCGCGGAGGAGCCCGCCGCCATGCGACCAAAGCCAAAGCGCGGGCTTCGCAGTGGAGCGACCGTCCCAGTTCCAGCTCTGGAGGATGAGGGTGCCGCAGAGGAGGAGCCCGACGCCGCGCAGCCACAGCCGAAGCCGAAGCGTGGAGCTCGCCGCAGAGCGACCACCCCAGACGCAGCTGCAGAGGTCACCGCCCTCAAGGCGGCAGAGATACGTGCTCAGGCTAAGGCGGCTGCGCAGGCCGCTGCTGCTCGCTCGATCGCGAAGGCCGAGGCCAAAGCATCGGCCGCGGTCGCCAAGGCAGCAGCCAAAGTGTCGCATACCATTGCCACGGCCAGGGCTAAGGCAATGAGCCGGGTCAAGGCAACTGTCGATCGGGATGCCAAGGAGAAGAAGCGGCTGCGCATGGAGCTGGCGGAGCGCGACAAGCGCATCACTGCCATATCGAAGACGATCCCGGTCCGATGGGCCACTCAGTGAACAGCTCCCCCATTTCCTTTTGTTTTTGCGGCGGAATACAGACGAATTGCGGCTCGGGGATCCGAGATAAATCCAGGAGGGGAGCGTCCTGTTCCTACCCAGGCCCTACCCCCTACCTACCCCAGTGCTCCCGCCCCCTGCCCCCCCCCCCCCCCTCGAACCTGCCCAGGGCCAGCGGGCAGACCCTGTGAGCTACGCCCAGCTGGACGACTTCCCCGTGATCAAGTGCGAGGTCGACGACGACTTGTGGGACGGCGACGCCACAGAGGCGCGGACGCGTGACTTCAAGGACCGCGGCCGAGGGCCGAGTGGGGACGGCTGGCGACAAGGAATGTTGGGCGATGATGAGGAGGACTGAGGAGGAGGAACGATTGCAGGCGGCATGCGATTTGAGATTTGAGGGGGGCGCGGGGGGG